AAGGTTGATTTCAGACGTTGACAAATCTCCTTCCACTTGAATTTCGAATGTAGTGAGAAATATTTTCGCCCTCGAAACTAAATCAAAGATTTGTGCCTTGGTCATCTTTTGGACTTTCGTGGTAGTCAATATTCGAGTCCTTAATAATTGTATCATCCCGATTTCTCTAAAAATGGTGAAGACTTTTCTGGATACTTCATATTGGTGTGTATTCATCATTATTTTGACCCTTTTGTATTGAGAGTCATCTACTTCATCTAGAAGTTCTCCAGCAAAATACATATAAATGAGCATTGCAATTCGATTCTTCATCATTTTCGCTCGTCGATAATGTCTTTGAATTGTTTTCATTTTTATACTTGCATCATCTGATTCATTATAAGGTCTTGACCATAGTTCCATTTGAATGGGCTCAAGTCGTATTAAGTCATTGTAAATATCATCCATCTTTGATTTTCAAAAATTACAAAAATATGGACATAAAATATTTTTCTTGTCCTTTAAATACTGAAATTGTTGTTGATCATCACATGGGGTTCCCATAACTGTCAATCAAAATATTCTTTTAGAAGATCGCCATTTACAGGTCTGGCTAATAATCGTCTATCTATTTCCCTTATTTTGTAAAATCCGTTTATTAAGACTTCGTAAATCCTATATGGTCCTTTCCATTTTGGTTCTAATTTTCCTGAAAATTGATTTATTTTGGCAGCATCATAGTACAAAACTTTTTGTCTAATGTCAAATGATTTTGGCTTAACCATTTGTTTATCATAGGCTGTCTTCTGTTTGTTTTTAACAGCGATCATTGTTTGTTTTGCCTTTTCTCTAATTTCAGGTAATTTTTCTATAATTTGACGAATTCTGTCGATCAAATTTTTACTCTGTTGATCCACATGATCATCTAAAGGTAATTTGGCTTCTCGTCCATAAGTCAACAGAAAAGGTGACATTTTTGTGGATGCCTGTTGAGCTGTACGATAAGCAAATAATACAGGGGCGATGTGTAAGTCCCACTCAGTTTGTTCTTGAATAAGTTTAGCTAATGATTCCTTTAAAGTCTTATTGAAACGTTCTACTTGTCCATTTGTTTGTGGATGATAAGGAGTGGAATTATGATGTTTAATTCCGAATTTTTCCATTAATTCTTTGATCATCATATTATTAAATGAGTACCACGATCTGTTAGGATTTTCATGGGACAACCATGTCTACATATGATATCTTCATAGATAAATTGAGCAACTTGACTAGCAGTTGCTTCCTTTACAGCTTTTGCTTCTGGCCATTTTGTGAACATATTAACGGCTACAATAATGTATCGATTCCCTTGTGATGTTATTGGTAATGGTCCAACGAAATCTATTCCTATCTGGTAGAAAGGGCTATGGGGTGGAATAGGATGTAATTCATTGTTTTTACTTGGTCCTCCTCTATGTTGACAAGAATCACAAGCTTTGACGTATGTTTTAATATCCTCATACATTTGCGGCCAATAATATCGGGTTCTAAGCTTGTTGAACATTATCTCAATTCCAAAATGTCCTGCTGTAGGATCATTATGCATCATATATAGAATTGGTTCTAATTCATACCGTTTGAGAACTTGTAACAGGTGTCCAGCTCGTCTTCTATCATATCGGTATAAATTTGAATTTTGAATCGTAAAATATTTAGTCATATTGACGAACTTTTTCTTTTCCTGATTTGATTGGACATAATCAGGGTATTTGTTGTGATTTAAATATTGTTGTATTTCGAAAAATTGTTGTATATCCATATTAAATAATTGAGCTGCAAGTCACAATGCTTACACTTTCGCTTACACTCAATTATATTATTTGAATGTTGAGACTTTCACTCACTAGGTGATATTCAACTAGGTGTTACCTCTTTAAAAAAATGTTAAAAAAATAAATAAATAATTTTGATATTTTTCTAATTTTAAATTTAATAATACTACACTAAATAAAAATAAATATTTAATAACTGGGAGTGCTAGCTCTACTACGAACTTCATCACAGGTTGAGGCATAAATAGGAGTGATAATAGGTGCAAATGGTCCAAACATTTCATCAAGTTCATCTTCTGTCCAATCACGTGTTTGAGGGTTCTTGGTTGGTTTTAGTAATTCAACTGCTGCTAGACAAGCATCGTCATTTTGCTGCACTTCTTCTGGTATATTCCAAAATATTTCATTACATAAAGTTTCTGGAATCATTTCAGGATGTATTTGTCCTAGATCGTATCCAATAATACATTCATGTTCCAATTCTGTAGTAATAATTGTTCCACAAAGTGTACAATTAACAGAGTATTCCTGAGCAAATTCCTCTAATCGGGTTCCATTCATGCGTTTAATAGTGGTTTGCCTGAATTCAGCAGCATTAAGAAAGATATTATGTAGGTCTTGTCTCCAATCTTGACCTCTCCCGTCAAGAATATACTCAGTTTCTTCATCACTGAAATTAAAATCTGATTCATTACAGCCTTCCAATTGTTCTAGTTGTTGTTCAATTTCTTCATCGTCACCATCAGATTTCATATTTAAATATTCGTAATATTCATGTTCGTTGCAATGGCAAATAGTACGCTTTGTAGGTACAGATATATAATTTCCATATGGGTTGGCGCATTGGAAACAATTGGTACAATACCAATGAGAATGGTGGTCATTTTCCTCACAGGCATAAGTATTCTTTCGATATTTTCGATTATTATATAATCCATTCCATTGCCATTTTGTTTGACATCCAGGAACATTCAAGGCAGAGAAATGTACTTGTATCCATCTGTTATCTTCTTCCTCAATTTCTTCGGTTAGGGCCATATTTACTGGGACCATTCTTGAGAAAGTATCAGCGTTTTGGTTTTTAACACCTGGTCGATGTTTAATTGTGAAATCATAGGCTTGAAGAAATAGAGCCCATCTTGCAACTCGTCCTTTTACATGCTTCGTAGTTAATAACCAGTTTAGAGCAGAGTGATCAGTGACTACTTCAAAAGGTTGATAACATAGATAATGATCAAAATGTTCAATAGACCATCTAACGGCGAGACATTCTTTTTCAGTTGTAGTATATTTTAATTCTAAGCTAGATAATTTTCGACTAGCATAAGCGATTGGATGTTCTAACCCTTGTTCATCTTTTTGAGTAAGAACAACTCCTAATCCTTCGTCAGATGCATCAGTTTGCAGAATAAATTTATTTTTAAGATCTGGTTGAGCGAGTACTGGAGCAGTAATCATTTTTCCCTTTAAAATATCAAATGAACCTTGATGTTGAGATGTCCATGACCATTCAGTATTTTTTTTAGTAAGGTCATGTAAAGGTCCAGCAATTTTTGCGAAATTTTGAATAAAGCGTCGATAGTAAGAGAAGAGTCCTAGTGCCATGCGTACTTCTTTTGGATTCTTTGGGATTGGTAAATCGATCATTGCCTGAATTTTCTTCTGATCAGGTTTGATTCCATTACTACCTACAATATGTCCCAAGTAGCTAACTTCGTTGACAGCAAAGGTGCATTTGCTTGGCTTAATCTTTAATCCAGCTTCCTTAAGTCTATTAAAAACTTGTTGAACATGTTGACAATGATCCTCAAATGAAGTAGAATAGATAATGATATCATCAAGATAAACGGCACAGAACTTTCCAATTAATCGATGTAATACCCGATTCATTAGACGTTGAAAGGTTGCAGGTGCATTCTTTAATCCGAAAGGCATTACTTTGAATTCATAAAGACCTGAAGGTGTTATAAAGGCAGTCTTTGGTTGATCTTCTGGATGCATTTTTACTTGCCAGTATCCGCTAGCTAAGTCAAGAGCAGTGAAATATTTTGCAGTCCTAAAGTTTTCTAATTGGTCTTGCATGTTTGGGATTGGATAGCTGTCAGTAATAGTGATTGCATTCAGGGGTCGGTAATCAACACAAATTCTTAGATCTCCTGTTTTCTTTGGTACGAT